AAAAATGCTCCAGTGACAACCAAGGAAATTTTAAGAGGACTGAAGGTTGCCATGTGTATGTCAGGTTGGGAGAGGTCTGACTAAATGAGGTGCGTGCTAATGTGGGTTTTTTGAGAAAAGTTGAATAAATTACCTAAGGCAAGCAATATATCCATTGATCTGTAGTAGTTGGTACACAAATGACATTGATCATTATGAACATGCTTTGAGAAAAAGATGTAAACATATTGAAAAGAAAAACAGTTCAAAAATATTCTGAAGTGGGAAGCCAGCTTGACAAACAATTTTGATTTGCCTTTCTTTTGTGGGCCAGACATTCCTGTGAGATAGAGGAAAGCAGCATGATGCAGTGCTTGATCTACCAAAAATCCTTTCAGTAAAATTAAACATCAAATACTGCTACAAAAGGTGGTTTGCTGCAGAATTACACCATGTTCTAACGTGCATAAATAACCTGGCTTCGTAAAAACAATGCAACTTGGCCAGATTTACAATTGTTTCTCAACTTGTAATGTTGAATAAGAGAGAAGCAGGGCTAAAGGATATATGGGAGTTGTGGTTAATATTTATCGACTGTATCCAGTCATTGCAACAATTAACGAGAAAATAGCAGAGTGCGATGTTGTTTTGCCAAATCACCAGAATACAAGTCCGAGCTCTTCGTAAAGTGGTTGCTTCGAGTCTGGATGAGGCTATAGTTTAAATACTATATTCCAGTCTGTTCACTGAGTGTAATGTGAAAAGGGGCCGTGAAACTGACCCCAGTGACAGAGGATTTTTTGTGCACCAATTAGAAAAACCCTGAAAAGAGGCAAATGATCAGATAATTGTGAGATAGATACGTTTGTAGAATAGAATAAGTTAATCTGTAATGTGTTCAATCACAAAAGGAGAATACACACTGATAAACACTGAATTCAGGAAGTTGTTCTTTGCAAGAGGATTTAACTTCAAGAATAGTTGTTTGAAAAGGTCATTGGATGCAAAAAGTCTGGAGCAATTGAACATTGAGTGAGACATCTTGAATAAATTTAGTAGTTACCATTCCTGTGTTTTAATCTCTTATGAGACAGATTTTGAAGTACATTTTGGAAGGAAGGATCTTGCATTTACGAGAGCCTTTCCCATACAGCGGGTAGCCAAATGTATTTCACAGCCAGTGAGTTATAATTAACTCTAATATAATAACCACCTTCAGCACAGTTTGTGTATTGTACTTTATGTAACAGTGGTTTAAAACAAATACGACATCCTGATTTTGAACATCCATTTTAAATTTGCAAATTCATCATGCATGTGGGCAGATGATGACCTGGTAGTGTTATCTCAACAGTATTAACCCAGAAGAAACCTGTTTTAGTTCTGGAGATCTGGGTTCAAATTAGAAAGCAATGAAAAAAAAATCTGGAATTAAGAGTCTAATAATGACGTTGAAATCCACTGTCAGTTGGCTGCTTCACCAATGTCCATTTAGGGAAGGAAACTGGCGTCCTCAGCTGGTCTGGCCTACGCGTGACTCCAAACCCTCAGCAATGTAGATAAATCTTAACTGTGCTCTGAAATAGCCTAGCAAGCCACTTCATTGTAACTATTGCTAGAAAGTCTCAAAAGAAACGACACCAGACTGACAACCTGGCATTGACCTAAGCACTGGAAGTGACAATGGCAAAAACAGCCCTGCAAGGTCTTCCTTTGTAACATCTGGAGGCTAGTGCCAATATTAAGAGAGGTGTCTTTCACAGTAGTCAAGCAGGAAATAGTTATACTCATGGAATAATACCTTTTATACCATATTCCAGACACCACTGTTACCATCCCTGGATGTGTCTCATCCCACTGACACACAGGCCTGGCAGAGGCGGCAGCACAGTGGTATGCAGTCAGGAGGAAGTCTTGTGGCACCAGGTCAAACATGGGCAAAGAAACTCTTGATTGCCGTGTATTGATATTCCTTGGCTGGTGAATCGATATTGTTCCATGTTGAAACCACTCGGAGGGATCATTGAGGTTGGCAAGGATGTAGAATTTACTTTGGATGTGCGATGTAATGTCCACCATCAGTGAGTTGACAGCACCACTACTGATCAAGCTGTTGAAGTCATGTAGGATATAACTGCTAAGTTGGGTCTGTGGCAAATGGTGAGGGAACCAATGAGAGGAGAAAAATCTACTTGATTCATCCTTACCAATCTGCCTGCAGCTGTTGTAGCTGTCCATGACGGTATCAATGAGAGACCACTACATAACCCTTGTGGAGACTAAGTCCTTCCTTGAGATTGAGAATGCCTTTCATTTGTGTTGTGTGGCGTTATCACTGTGCTAATTGGGACAGACGTCAAGCAGATCTGGCAACTCAAAACTGGGCATCCATGAGGCATCGTGGACCATCAGTTACAGAGGAACTCCAATGCAATCTGCAACGTCATGGCTTGCTATATCCTTCACTCTGCCATTACCATTGAGCCAGGGGATCAACACTGGTTCAGTGAAGAGTGAAGGACGGCATGCAGGGACATGTGTGGCTGATGTGTTTATATGGCTGGTGAACTTCAATTTCTGATTAGCAGTAATCTCAGCTTACTGATGGTCATGCATTCGGTGACGAAGAAGACTTGAAAGTCAAAGGGGGATGCTTAAATTTTCCCTTGCTGGAGGTGGTCACTGCCTGATGTTTTCATGGCACAAATATGATGTGCCACTTGTGACTTTGGTCTTATTCCTTATCTGAGGCATTACAGGTTGAACTGAACACTATCATGAGATATAGCTGAGGAGGAGTTATTTTCCTGGGTCTGTGTCCCAGTGTATTGGAGTGGCTGAGTAAATAACATTAGAAGACCTGGTATGATCCTTTTTGCAAAGACAGATGACTCAACGTGACTAGACACCGACTCCGGAATATTCACCCCTTCCCCTCACCCCTTCCCCCCACCCCTCAATTGTAAAATGGATGTGGCTCTTTAAAAAAATCTGATTGCATAAATGGAGTTTTTCTCAAAGCAGAACATATGGAACTGAAAATATAAATGAGAGACTCCTCTATTCAACAGAATGCAGTATGGCTGGATTATAACCCAGGTATTACTGCTCCAACAGATGCAGTATCCTACTTGGAGAACACAGAAACACACTGTCACTGTTCTTTACACATTTATGGTGGTATGAAGGTTAACTCTGGTAGAAAATGTAAAGTAACATTTGGGAAAATGTCTCCCTTTTATTATTGAAACCAAAGAAAACCTTTTAAATCTCTCCCTGTCACCTTAAACCTATGCCCTCTGGTTTTGGACTCTGCCACCCTGGGGAAAAGACCTTGGCTATTCACTTCATCTGTGCTCCTGATGATTTTATAAACCTCTATAAGGTCACCCTCAGCCTCTAACACTCCAGGGAAAAAAGTCCCAGCCTATGCAGCCTCTCCTTATAAACAAACTCTCCAGTCCCAGAAATATCCTTGTAAATTTTTTTCTGTACCCTTCCTAGTTTAACAACATCCTTGCTATAGCAGAGCAACCAGAATTGTACATAGTATTCTAAAAGTGGCCTTACCAATGTCTTGTACATCTGCAACATGATGTCCCAACTCCTACATTCATACCAACTCATACAATGAAAGCAAGCATGCCAGATGCCGCCTTCAGCACCCTATCTACCTGCGATACCACTTTCAAGGAATTATGCACCCGTACCCAGAGACTTCTATGTTCAAAATACTCTCCAGGCCCTACCATTAACTGTCTAAGTCCTGCCCTGGCTTGCCTTACCAAAATGCAATATCTCATTTAACTAAATTAAACTCCATCTGCCACTTCTGTCGTTAGGCGTAAGAATTATTCATATTCAACACTTCCTGACAGCCCATAAAAATACTCCGTAACCTTAGCAAGAGTAGGTTCTTTTTCTTACTTTATTCATTGAGGGATTCACTGGATAGGCAGCATTTATTGCCCATACCTAATTGCCCAGAGGGCAGTTCAGAGTCAACCACATTGTTGTGGGTGTGGAGTCGCACGTAGGCCAGACCAGGTAAAGATGGCAGTTTCCTTCCCTGAAGGACATTAGTGAACCAGATGGTTTTTTCCAACAATCAACAATGGATTCACAGTCAAGGTTAGATTCTTAATTCCAGATATTTACTGAATTCAAATTCCACCATCTGCTGTGGTGGGATTCGAACCCGGGTCTCCAGAACATTATCTGGGCCTCTGGATTAGCGGTCCAGCGATAACAACACTAGGCCATTGCCTCCCCTCATTAAGCATAATGAGCAAACTAGCTTCCTTCTATCTTTTGATATTCTAGAATTCTACTCTTGCCACCAAAATCACTTTGACATTTTTGTGACTGACTGAAGAAAATCATTTCCCCAGGCAGCAGCAGAGGAGCAGGAAAGTTGGCGTTCTGGGTTGGGACCCCTCAGAAATGGGGGAGGAAAGGGAGCTCCGAACTGCCCACCTGCACTCGCCTATCACCATCTCACCTACCTTCCCTGGCCCCACCCCCCTCTCTCTATTTATTTTGGAGCTCCCTTCTCTCTCTCTCTCTCTCTCTCTTTCCCACCCCCCCATTTCTGAAGAAGGGTCCTGACCCGAAACGTCAACTTTCCTGCTCCTCTGATGCTGTCTGGCCTGCTGCGTTCTTCCAGCTTTACACTGTGTTATCTCTGACTCCAGCGTCGGCAGTTCTTACTATCCCTTCACACAGGTGATGATGTGTTTATGAAATGAGCTGCCAGAGGAAATGGTAGAGGCAGGTGCAATTGGAACATTTAAGAGTCATTTATTTAAGTAAATGAATAGGAAGGGTTTAAAGGGATATGGGCCAAACACGGGCAAATGGGACTAGATCAGTTTAGGAATCCTGGTTGACGTGGACAAGTTGGACCGAAGGGTCAGTTTCCATGCTGTATGACTTCGACTCTAATTCAAAATTCTCTCTCTCTCTCTGTCTCTCTGTCTCCCTCTCTCTCTGTCTCTCTCTCTCTTCTCTCTCTCAAACAGGTATCAAATTGTTGTTGAAATAATTCAGGCAACTACAATCAGCAGCTTACCTCAGATGAAGAAACCAAAAGGTAAGCATCCTGCTTGATTTCATTTTCAGTGCTGTCTGACCTATAATTAAGTATTTAACTAACTACCTGTATAATCTCAGAATTTAGTTTAGTGTTCTTATTAATTTCTCATGCAGTATATAAGCTAAGGCCCTCTTTATTTATGTGCAATGTAAGGAAAAATCCTGTCAGTGTAGTTAAGCCTACCTCTCCCCCACACCCAGTTTATACCCCTAAATCACTGTCTTGAAGGTGGAAGGGTTATTACTTGACTTCCATAGACAACAATGGCTTCTGGGAAGATTGTCCTAATGTTGAGTTATTGGTGTGTTTATCAGCCTGTTCTGTTTGACACACCATCAACAGTGAGGCAGACAGTGCCCTTGGCCATGAATATTGCAGCAGGAGCGAACCAGTTAGTCATCAAAACTGAGATTTCTATCCAGTTTTTTTTCTTATTTTTGGCTACTTGTCAAATAACTGGACTGACCGTTGTCATTTGAGCTTGCATTCAATGATTTAACATCAAGCAGGGAATGAATTGAACAGTTTTCCATGTTTTCGCTCCTGCATTCCACATAGATAACTGTGGCTGAAACGAGTTTTTTTTTCCCTTTTTTTATTGAATTATAAATCTTGCCAAATACTGTCAGAAGGAAATTACAATTGATTTCAGTCACTGTAGTTTGTAAGTGACTGTCAGTGTAAGAACTGATGACTAGGTAAACACTGTCTTTGTCTGCAAGCTTGGCTAGAAACATTGACATTTGCTATTGTTTTCTGCTGTTTAAAGCTTAGATTTTGGGATCTTCTGACAATGGTTTTGTGTGTTAGATGGTGGTAAAACATTTGTATTATGAAGTTAGTAGTTTGCTTGAAATTTGACCTTAGAAAGACCATTGATTATTAATGTTATTAATACAGACCGTCCACTAGGATGATATTCTACAGTACTCCACTGCCTAATAAACCAAGTATTCATCCTCATTAGTCATTGCATGGCAAAGAGCCCTGGAACTGTGAGCTTGTTTTTAAATGTGACGAGAAGGCTGAATGATAGAGATCTGTGCAATGGTCCTTGTGATTTGGTGTATTAGTGTAGATCATATTAAAAATTCCAACAATAGCTCCCATCAGTGTTCAACAATTTTATACAATAAACATTTTAATTGCATAAGCAAGATTAGTTGCAGATTTGATCTGCCTGTCCTCCAATTTCTTACCAATATCTTATTGCAGATCAGTTACATCGGGGGATAAAATTAGTCATAGATGAAGAATGGGGAGAATGGTTCCCACTTTTGATCTCTATCCAGCAACTCCTGATTGAAATGCGTGTATATGTTTATTGGATGTGGACTAATTTGGGTTCAGGTGTGATATTTTCTGTGAAAATAGCCTTCTGACTCACTCTGAAGCCTGATACAAAAGTAATATGCACATAGAACAGACGACTGCACCACACAGTGTGCGTACATTCCTTGTGGCATTTCGTAAAAGAACAGGACAAGTTCCAGAGGTGGGAGATTGTTTTCCATTATTGATAATTAGTTGGAATTAGAAAGGCTTATGGGTCACCACTATCTGAAGAAGACTTCTCACAGTTGCCTTGAGGGCAGGGAATAATTCCCAAAGTTTTTCCATTTCTACCCCCCACCCCCAGCCCCGCCTTTTTGCCTTCTCCTAGCGTGAGGTGAGGCGAGGCTGGATGGCCTCTAATACTAGGAATCTATAGCAAGATAGATGAGTTAAGAACGTGGATTGACATGTGGAATTATGATATTGTTGCTGTCACAGAGATGTGGTTGAGGGAGGGACAGGACTGGCAATATTCCATTATAGAATCTTCAAGCAAGACAGGAAGGTGTAACAGAGGAGGTGTTGCACCTAAAGCAGGTGATATATTGGTAGGGTATTCAAACGAGGCTTTGTGGGTAGAGTTTAGGAATAAAAAGTGAGCTACCACATTGTGAGAATGTATCATAGACCCCAGACGGTCAGCGGGCACTGAAGGAGCAGATATGTAGACAATTTACTGAGCTTTGTAAAAACAATAATGGAGTAATTATATTAGGAGTTTTAAATTACTCAATATTAATTGGCATAGTCATAGCCTGAAGGATTTAGAGGGGGCAGATTTCTTGAAATGTATTCAGGAGACCTATTTATGTCAACACAGGACTGAGCAGGGTTGGGCCTAGTTCTGGGCAACGAAGCCGGGCAGCTAGTCAAGGTGCAAAAACAAAGTTGCTGGAAAAGCTCAGCAGGTCTGGCAGCATCTGTGAAGGAAAAAACAGAGTTAAAGTTTCGGGTCCGTTGACCCTTCCTCAGAACTGTCTGCAGTACTATTGCCAGAATGCTGTCAGGGCCTGTAGCCTTTGCAGTATCCAATATCTCCAATCATTTCCTGATATCACGTGGAGTGAATGGAATTGGCTGAAGACTGGTATCTGTAATGCTGGGGATCTGTGGAGGAGGCCAAGATGGATCATCCACTTGGCATTTCTGGCTGAAGATTGCTGCGAAAGCTTCAGCCTTATCTTTTGCACTGCTGTGCTGGGTTCTTCCATCATTGAGGATGGGGATATTTGTGGAGCTTCCTCCTCCATTGAGTTGTTTAATTGTCCACCACCATTCACGACTTGATGTGGCAGGACTGCAGAGCTTAGATCTGGTCTGTTGGTTGTGGGATTGCTTAGCTCTGCCTATCGTTTGCTACTTTTGCTGTCCAGCGTGCAAGTAGTCCTGTTTGGTGGCTTCACCAGGTTGATACCTCATCTTCAGGTATGCCTGGTGCTGCTCCTGACATGCCCTGTCCTGCACTGTCCATTGAACTAGGGTTGATCCCCTGGCTTGATAGTAATGGTTGAGTGGGGGATATGCCAGGCTGTGAGGTTACAGATTGTGGTGGAGTACAATTCTGCTCCTGCTGATGGCCCACAGCACCTCATGGGTGCCCAGTCTTGAGTTGCTAGATCAGTGTGAAGTCTGTCCTATTTAGCACGGTGATAGTGCCACACAACATGGAGGTTATTCTCAGTGTGAAGGCGGGACTTCGTCTCCATGAGGGCTGTGCGATGGTCACTCTTACTGATTGAATATTGTGCACAGTTTTGGGCCCCATCTCTCAGGACAGATATACTGGCTCTGGAGTGGGTTCAGAGGAGGTTCACGAGAATGATCCCAGGAATAAAAAGCTGAACATATGAGGAACGTTTGAGAACTCTGGATCAATACTCGATAGAGTTTAAAAGGATGAGGGGCGATCTAATTGAAACTTTCAGAATACTGAATGGGCCAGACAGAGTGGATGTTGGGAAAATGTTTCCATTGGAGGAGAGACTAGGACCCAAGGGCACAGCCTTAGAGTAAAGGCAAGACCCTTTAGAACAGAGATGAGGAGAAACTTCTTCAGCCAGAGAGTGGTGAATCTATGAAATTCATTGCCACAGAAGGCTGTGAAGGCCAGGTCATTGAGTATATTTAAGATGGAGATACATAGGTTCTTGATTGTCAAGGTGATCAAAGGTTATGGGGAGAAAGCGGGAGAATGGGGTTGAGAAACCTATCAGCTATGATTGAATGGCGGAGCAGACTCGATTGGTTGAAAGGCCTAATTTCTGCTCCTGTGTCTTGTGGTCTTATGGTCTTGAGTCAAACAGCGCCAGGTTATAGTCCAACAGGTTTATTTGAAATCACTGAGGTTTCGGAGTGCTATTGTGCCTGATTGTCAGGCAGGAGTATTCCCTCCCAGTCGCAGAACACTTCAGCGGTCAAGGATATTCATCCTCTGATCTTCAGGTAAGTGTGCTCTGAGGTGGTCTTCGAGATACACAACAAAGCCAAGTTCTGTCCCAATGATTCTGCAATCAGTTTCTGCTCAATGAGGACAACTTCAACTGTGATCTTGGGTTCATGTTATGCTCCATGTATCCCATAAAACTGTCTCAACGCAGTGTCGAGCTGGAGGAGCACAGCAGGCCGGGCAGCATCAGAGGAGCAGGAAAGTTGAAATTTCGGGTCAGGACCCTTCTTCCAGAAATGGGGAGGGGGAAGGGAGCTGGGAAATAATTAGAGAGAGGAGGGGTGGGGCTGGGGAAAGGTAGGTGGAATGGTGATAGGTTGGATGCAGGTCGGGCATAGTGGGGATTGGTCATTGGGAAGGGTAGGGCAGATAGGTGGGAAAGAAGACGGACAAGTTGTGTCAGGTCAAGGAATTGGGGATGAGAGGGAGTGTTAGACATGGAATGAGGCTGGCAGTGGGGAGATTTTGAAACTGGTGAATTGTATTGAGGCCATCGGGCTATAGGCTCCCGAGGGAGAATATGAGGTGTTGGTCCTTCAGGGCGGCATGGTGGCTCAGTGGTTAGCACCGCTGCCTCACAGCGCCAGGGACCCGGGTTCGATGCCTTAATCAATTGGTTCATAGGTCGTCCCTTGAATTTCTATTCATCTGTTGACACTTTACTCAAACCATCTGACACTTCTGATCACAGGCAAAGACTTGTTATTCAGCCTGTTGAAACATCATTCACACTATTTGTACATAACTATTGACTCTCTTAATTACCTGGAATTATCTTGCCATTATCTCTCTGCCTATATATTCTGTCCCTGTGCACTTCTCCACACTTCACCTGACGAAGGAGCAGTGCTCCGAAGCTTGTGATTTCAAATAAACCTGTTGGATGATAACCAGGTGTCATATGATTTCACATTCTGGAAGAAGTAACGAGCCAAATAGTCGAGGAATGGCAGGACCCTAGGAAGTTCAGAAGAACAGAGGGATCTTGGGGTGTTTGCCCACAAATCCTTGAAGGTGACATGACAGATTAATAGAGTGGTTAGGAAACCTTACAGGATACTAGCCTTTATCAGTCGTAGCGTGGATTATAAGAGAGTGGAGGTAATATTGGGGCCGTATAAAACTTAAGCCACAGCTGAAGTATTGTCTGTAGTTCTGGTCACTGCATTATAGGACATGATTGCGCTGGAAGGTGTGCAGAGGAGATTCACTGGGA